CGATATATCATAGCCAAATGAATAATTATATCAAAAACAACTTTCAGGTTTTCTCTCTGTCAATTCGATAATTGAACAAGTTGTATTTTATAAAATTTTATTTTTGGCAAGAAATATGTAGTAATTCTGCCTTCTCTTACTTCATACCTTCGTTTCGACTGCATTTAAGGAGAGGGGTGGGTTTATTTCATGATTCTATATAAGCACTTATTCGAGGGGGTGCTTATTCGAGGGGAGGCGCTTATTCGAGGATTTACGGTAACTAACTAGGCCGTCCGCAGGCGAGCGTTTCGTCGGGCCCGCCAGTCAATACAAATTGTCCATGCACGCGGTTTGAGGACGTCGATGAAAGAATCCGTAGTCCTGCCTCTCCCTAGCCTGTGTGCATCCGCCTCCTCCCCTAAAAAAAAATCGATCCCCGATTTCTTTTTTAGGGGAGGAGGCGGATGTACACAGGTTAGTCTCTCCCCCGCTGCCCGCGCGTCGGTTCCCACAGCACTAGCTTGCTTGCTGGTAGCTCGGCGTGCCGATAGCAGTGTCCAGCTAGCCCCATCCTTCTGCTTGCTACTTTGCTTGCTACAAGCAACCAAGAAAACAACAAAACAACCAACTAACCAACCATTTTAAGTCAGCCATTTTGTCAACCAACAAACCAACCACTGAGCGACCAACTGACTAGCAAGCCAGTCAGCGGCCTGTCAACCAGCCATCAAACCAACCAGCCACAGCCAGCCAGCAGCCAGTCTATCAACCAACCAACCAACCAACCAACCAACAACTAACCAACCAGCAAGACAGCCAACCCACACACATGTTTCTGAAATCACCACCGACACAAATTAAAACTCGATAATTCTTGTTTTATTTATTGCAGAATATTCTACAGAGAATGATCTCTCTCAAAGCCTTCAGGACGGGACTGTTGACAAAATATGGCTGTTTTGACTGCAAAGGAATAAAAACAAGACTTCATGATCGTTAGCGTTCTTGGCGTCAAACGAGGAAAAGCATCTGTCATCGGGGCGGATTTTCAGCTGCCAAAGAACAGAAAAAAATTACAAGAAGAATTTCATATGTGTTTGAAACAATGGGCAACGGATGAAATAGAAGATGAGGACGAGGAACCCTTTTTGGAAGCAAGTGGCATCTAAGATGTTGGGAGACGAAGATTGGAAAGGCCAAGAAACCAGAGGTTGGAAAGCTTTTTTGTTTCTCCTAACATTCGGGTTGTATGTTTTCCAGTGACATAAACGTACGTTCCCTAAGCACCAATAGTTTGCATTATGCTATTGAAACATGCAGGTCCGCTTGTTAACTTCCCACCCTCTTGGCGCGCACCGTGGTTGCGTGCTTTTGATTGGCTGATTGCATGCATTCTGGCCCTCTCTCTGTCACGCAAACACTAGTATATTTTGTGCTTGTCGCGATTAGCCAAATCCAGTCAGGGAAACAAGTACAGTGAAATCCCGATTTCCCAAACCTCCAGGGGAAACAAAAATTGGTTCAAGAAATTGGGAGTTCGAAATATCGGTCTTAAACTGATTAAAGTGAAACAAACCATGGCAAACGATGTTTCGTTCGAGTTATCGGAGTCTTTGAGAGATCAAGGGTTCGAGAAAATCTGGATTCCACTGTATCAATTGATGGCGACCTTCCGTCTCCGAGAATTGGATTGAGCCCGTTTTTCGTCACTATATTTTTCTAAGAGTGGACCATTTAACTTCTGGAGAGGGGGGGGGGGGGGGGGGGGGGGGGGGGGGGGGAGAGGTGTTGGGTGATTTGGTATAGGCGCATGATTTTTTTTCAAACCCTTTCATTCGCAAGAAATGTTTTTCTCGGGACATGTGTAGTGCATAATATTTTTTTCTGAAGTTGCATTTGTCAGCCCATCAGGCCGTAGTGCATTTTTTCGGCAGTGGTCGTCGTGCACGATTTTTTTTTTGTACAAATGTGCTTGCAAGTATGCTTGCAACCCACCTCCCCCCCCCCCCCCCCCATCAGAAGTTAAATGGTCCACCCCATGATAGATTTCGGAGTATTCATAAACCCGGTTTTCGTTTGGCAACTTTTCGAGCGCTTCAACGAAAATTTGCCAAAAAATGGTTCGCCTGATAACTTTCCGTTTCGGTATGACGCAAGTCATTCGGAAACCTACTCTATGAGTTATCAGAGGAATTATTTACTATTTTCTCAGTGAATTATTTCATCCAAAGCAGCATCACTGCATTGAGAATCACAGCCTTGTCAGATACAACGATTCCAAGTGGAGCTCGCCCCCAGATGGGACTTATTGATATCCTTCTGTACATCGCTGCTGTCTTCTTATCACATTCTTGACGACTGGTAGCGCTGTGGAATATTTGCCTAAAGATGAGACATGCAACAAAATCTCTTGGTTTGTATTTTCTTGTGATCTTAGTACATTTACCTAAGGTAAATGTAAGGTAAAACCGTACTCAGACTAAACTGGCCTATACTGCCGGAGCTTATTCCGATTTTCTTAGCATGAAGCCAAATTAAAAATAGGCGTATTGCTACTCTCCTGGATGGGATCACGCTAGTGCCAACGCCGTGCCCCAACAGCTTGCTGGTACCCATTATACTCCTAGGTTGCCCAAACACATCCGGTTGCAATTGGAGAGGCATTGGCTCGAAGTACAGCCGTTATGTGAGCCCGCGTTCCTTGCCCCAATCACAAAGCGGCTGGAAATAGAGCCTAAGCGGAGAGGCATTGCCAAACTAAAGTTAAATCGATCTTGGCACAAATCACGAATAACGCAATACTACCAAACGGTAATCGCCACGTTAATTAAGTTCAAAATTTCGACATGTGGATCTATAAGAAACGGTACTAACCACGTGCACAACCCTGCGCCCTTTCAATAACATAGATCCTTGTAAAATAACAGATGTTATCTTTACCTTTCATACTGCGAGATTGATGTCGAGAAGGAGCAGGCACCGCACAAGAATTACAATCGGTCCAGCGACCATTCACTCTGAACTAATAATGTCGGCATGGAAATCCTATAATTACCGTAGAAGGAAAAGAAACGGGATCATTGCTAAACAATGCCTCCAAATTTCAGCTGAATTAGCAGAACATAAAAAACCCTCGTTCATGTTTTCTGTTAATGAAATTCTTCCGGTTATATGGTGGTATTAATCGGGATAGAATACAAAATGCAAATACATTTGTTGACTATAGTGCACAGAAAGTAAACTAACTTACCTAAATTAAAACAAAATATCACGAATGCATCAGTTTGACATGATAGTATAATACAATCTAATAGGAAATTACAATTCTATTCTTCCTTTCAAACTGATCGAAACAGTTCCCTTCAATTAGAGTTAATTAAAAATATGCAACACAGACAATCTTTAGCAAAATTAAGATCGGGAAATCATGATTTAAGAATTGAAACTGGTACCAAAAATTCCAGAACATCTAAGAATATGTCAATATTGTTCATTCTAATGAGTAGAAAACGAATTTCAGTTTCCAATTTTTACCTGCAATTTACTTAAGGGTATAAGAAAAAAGTTATTTGAAGATATACATTTGAAATACCCTAATTTTAATACTCCATAGTAATCCTGATAAAATATTATTTCTTTCAATAACTACGATCCTTTTATTTGTAAGATCTGTAAGAAATAAGGTTTTTTTTATCTTTGAAGTATTCCAGAAAGCCAAACAATGATCATGATTGTAATAATTAAATTATTATTAATTAATTAATTAATCAGTAATTTTGGTTGTATTTTTTATTTCTATTATTGTCATTTTCTCGTTTTTATATATTTATATTTCTTTATTAAGCAAAACCATCTATGTAAATGGGGAATGCAAATTAAAAAATAAAGTTCAGCGTTTTTGTGACTTTGTCTGGCTGATTCAATGAATTTTTGACAGCGTTTAACCCTATTCAATTTATTTGGTACCTCTTAGGCCCAGTTCAGACGCCGTACTTACATGAGCCGAATCGAATTCGAATTTAGGTCGACCCAAATAATTTAGACCGGCTGAATTGATTCAGACGCCGAGCTTAATTCAGCCGAACTTAAATTAATAGGAGAAAATTGCTGTTATACTGAAAAATACATTATAATAATTCATGCATTTTTTTCGGCTCATGTGAACTTCGGCGTCTGAATCAAAGCCGGTCCACAGCCGTTATTCCAGCTGAGCAGGGAGAAGAACGGCTGAGCCGCTCCGAATTCATTCAGCCGTTCTGAATTGATTCAGACGCCGTACCTCACATGAACTTAATTCATCGAATTCGATTCGGCTCATGTGAAGTACGGCGTCTGAACTGGGCCTTAGGATGTGAAACATTCCCACGAAACGAGACTCAGCTACTATGAGGAACAACGAGGATTGGATTCGAACTCACGCGTTCAGAGGACATGCATTGGATTTGCAAACCGGCATCGCCTTTGTCCGGATTGAGCAAGAGTTAACGCTCGAAATATAAGTAGTACTTATTTTGTGACCCTGATTGGTCAGGACTTTAATAAAGACTGTGTAAGTCATTGTAGTTTAGTACTCTGATCCAAGCGCGGAAGTCCATAGTCATTGCATGCATTGCCCACTTGTGCATAGTAAAATTACGATGGAAATAATAACGAAAGGCCGACAGGTCGCAGGTCGCAGGTCGCAGGTCTCTGTGACCTGTTTGACTAGTGCGACCTGTCGCGGCGACAAAATTATGTCGCAGCGACAAGAATTTTCATTAAAATGGGCATGTCACACGAAGGGAATTGTCGCTGCGACCTGTCGCCTAGTGTGTCCCGACCTTAAAGCTTCAGAATGGCAATGTATCAAGAACAACTTGATGAAACTTGTTCATCCAATACGAAGTTGAATAAAATATTTCCTAGGCGTTAAGCCGAAGCTAACACGCGCACTACACGCGCAGTTCAATACGCACAAGAACATTACCAGACGTGTAAAATAGGAGGCTTAATGCTCAAAAAGCTTTGCTAAAATTTGACGACGAGGATGGGATTCGAACCCACGCGTGCCAGAGGCACATTGGATTAGCATTCCAAACGCCTTAACCACTCGGGCCACCTCGTCCTGTTGAACAAAAGTGCCCGAATATATATAGAGCTTGTTTTGCATTTACAGTATATATGATCAGATAAATTTTGATGTCCATTGAGACTGTAGAACTTTTTTGTCGGGAATTTTACGGTATAGGGCCACCTTTGTCATAAAAAGGACAGGGTAAAAGTATCGTTAAAACTCTCGATCTTGAAAAAATCATGAATCTGAAAATGAACTCAGTGAAGAGCCAGCCAACCTTTGGACACTGGGTTTGGTTTATAACAAACCCTTGCCTTTTGTAGATAGCCATGTGCTTGCTCCAGGATTCTACACGATAAGATGGTTATTTGTTGTGACGTCATGTGGACGTCAAATGACGTCATTAAATTCAGAGAAAAGTAAAAATTGATAGAAAATTATTCCATAACAATTATGTACTTAATATAATATATGTTGCAATCAGTTGCTGAAGAAAACTGAAAAAATATCATTAACGAAAATTGTGGTAAAAACCTGCATGTCATGTGCGCGGTTGTTATGGCAAACGCAAAAACTGCGGACAAACAGTACAACTTAGGTTGGGATTAAAATTTTAACTAATTAAATTTCCAATTGCCTGACTAGACCTTCAGGGAACTGAACCAAAGTTCCAAAAACACCAAGAAACAATAGAACATAAGATCACAGGGAAGATATCCCACAAACTCCCAAGGGAATAAGCTTGGCCGCTTGGGCTCGATTTTTCCAGCCCCGTTTGTGAGCCCGCGTTCCTTGCATCGCGACATGTCCTTAAAACCCACCAGTCCTTATATTAACTACCCTCCCTCGGTGATAATTTTGAGCTCACTTGAAATCACGGCGCCCCTGCGGCAGAGCGAGGGGCTAAATCAAAGAGGAAAGAAAGGGCCATCTTGGATATCATACTGTTAGTAAATCCACATTTTCAGATGGTGAGTATCACAAATTTTAGAGCTGCACTTTGGCAGGCATTCCCTTCCTCGGATTCATTAAAACATTAGTACCCCGCTCTCTTTCGCCAGAGCTTTTTCGGATTTTGGGCAGTCTGCCGACGTTGTGAAATCGAGCTCGCTTTAACTGGGCGAACCGTAAACAGGTCGGACGTGAAGAACGAGGATGGCAAAAGGAGAAAACTATTTGTATTATGACGGGGAAAAACTGTATACTGGAAAGGGTAAGAGTAAATTCGCCCCACTCATACATTTGCCCTTATTCTTCCTAATGTAGTTTGAAAATCGGAGCTAGAAATTGGGACGTGCAATGCATTCGGCTAGCGGTTGTTAAAATTTAAAGCAAAGAAACTAACATGCACAGTCGATCATCACTTAGTTGTATTAAATTCAGATTAAAACTACATGTAGTTTATGTTGCTCTCTGATGATTTCCAAGAAGACGGCCTCGGATCAGGAAATAAGTCGATGAACAGTCTAGATTAAAGTTACAAAAAATATATTTGAAAACAACCCTTTCACGAAGTTTATTCGTGTTGCATGCGAATCAAGTTGCTAGAGTTTGAATCTTTTTTCCCGCATAAAGGGCCATTTGCACGTTCAATCGTCAGCCGCGTTGGGGGGGGTTGCATAATTTTTAAAAGGTCGGCCCCTTTTGTGGCGCTTGTTAATTTGCTTTTCAATACGAATAAAGTAGTATTAAATTATCAGGGTGAAGGCTACACAAAATTGTACAATGTTTTGTAGGAGGAATTTATCAGGGATATGGGGGGTAGCGTGGATCCCCCCAAGAGCCATTTATTCAGGGGGTCGGCAATGCACGATTTTGGTGCACTTTCCATAACTCTTGAAAGTGGATATCTCCAGTCTGTTTGATTTGTTGCGTGAATGAGGGTTGGGGATTTTGTCTCCCAAATTGGGGGCGCTTGATTTGTCTGGTAATTGGGTTTGATTTGTTCGATTTAATCGAAAACCTCACAAAAATTAGATGGTTACGGTTATAGTGTTCAGAACTGCCCAAATGCAATCGAACGATTTTGGTGTTCGAAATTGCGTTCGATTGTTTTTTTTTGTCCCTCGACTTAGAACACCCCCGGGATATAAACGAAAATGGGACGTTTACACGGATCATGTTGAGCTGCGAGCTTATACTACGTGTTTGTCCCCAGTCACCATTTTCGTTTGCTGCCCCCCCCCCAGAATGAGACGAGACTGGACATGATATTCCGTTCACATCCATGGGTTCAATACATTCAAACTCTTGCTTATAAGCGGACACCATGGGACGTCAGTTTGGAGTCCATAATAGCAAGAGTCCACAACCCCTCCTTCCCCCTCTCAAGCCCGCCCCCCTTTTTTTTGTGTGAGAAAATAAGTGTTTCTTAAATATTAGAGGACTGGAAGCCGAAAAAGGGTAAGCAAAGTGAAAAAAGCAAAGTCGTTCCATGAATACATCGTACCAAAGAAATCAACATGCAGAAAATAAACATATTTTTGGAAGGGCCTTTCCTCGTAAGTGTGTTTCCTATAACAAGGGTTGACATCCCCCCCCGTGGCGAACAACAGAGAGACTGCAGTTAATACATAAATATGTTACCATGAAAAAGTTACTAGATGTCCACTTTTATCCAGAGTCAAAACAATAAAAAATTGTTAGTGTTCGAGTACTACGAAAGTGTCCATACTTCCACAATATATGAGAGTCCATAATAGCTAGGATGCACTTTTCAATCAAAAAACCTCTAAAAATGTTATAGCCTTTGGATTTTTGACCGTAGACATAGCGTGGTGTCCGTAATAAAGGGGTGTCCGCAAAGGCGATGAGTTGACGTATGTCGGTGCCAGTAAGTAACATGAAAAACAAAAATCATTTTAATGTCGTTCAAAATCACAACCATGTGTTTGTGAGAATTTTTTGCATTGCCGACGAAACCAGGAGGAACTCCATGGTGGGACGGGGGGAGCAGCTGTTGTACAAAGGTTGTTTAACTGTTGGAATGTTCATTGTTTAGTATAAAATGCTTTTTTTTCTTTGAACAGGTCCAACTGTTCAACTTAAAAGTCCTCCGGAAAGCAACTGGAGCATCATGGGATAAAAATAGAGTTTTGTTGGACAAAATAGACCACCCGTGAGGATTTGATTGTTAATTATTTGTACATGTGCTGCACCATTACCAAGACCGATTCAAATGATGCACAGCAGCCATTGATAATTTTGGCATGCTCTGATTGGCTCTCCAGGACATAGCTGCCTTTTAGCCAATCTATTTTCGTTTTAAAAAGTTTAAAACCCCGGGGAAACAGTTT